CAGTGCCATCTGATGGGACCTGGAAATGGGACCTGCCTTCTGGAATAGTATCCCCCCAGAGATTCAAATGGTCCCCACCCTGCTCCCCTTCAGAGTTCTGAAAACCTGACTCTTCTCAGGCTTTGGCCTAGAGTGACCAGTGGCTTTTTGGAGATGTGATTGTGTTGGAAGAGTGTGGGGTTTCCCCTCAGGGTTAACCTTTGTTCTTTGTTGCTTGGCTTGTTTCATACTCTGTCTTTATTCTTGTGTGCTGCCCAGAATTGCTTGGAGTTGGGTGGCCTTATAAATACAATAGGCAGGCAGGCAGACAGACAGGCAGATAGATGCTTACATACTGCTGAATCTAAATGACTCATGACAATTTACAAATGCAGTAAACTATGGCAGTTTACATTATACAACTGTAAAAAAATCACTGTATTACAATGAAAGAAAATCAACATAAAATAGCGGTACCAACTAAATCCAGTTGAGACAAGACTACATTTCAAAGGCTCTATGGAATGAAGCTGGACAAAGGTCCAATTGGCCATGGTCTCCACCAGCAAATCTAGCAGTAGCCATGAGTTCAGAAGGAGTCCCAAGTTACAGACTCCTCTAAAGTTAAAACCAGAACTGACAGACAAAGAGGTGGTTTCTGGACAAACAGGAACTGTGTCTTGTTAGGATTCAACTTCACTCTATTTCATCCCATCCAGGGTGTTTTATTAAATATTTAAGTTGTTTGTGGCATCTCTGTCACATCCAGGGTGGCAGTGTGTAACTGGGGATTGTTGGCATACTGATGATACCTCATCCTGAACTGAGGGATAGTCTCTGTCAGAGGTTTCATGGAATTGCTGAAAAATAAGGTTGAGGGACTGAACTCTATGAACTCTTACTGGACCAGCCTCTCTTCCTTCAAATTAATTAGTACATCTACTGTGGAAGGAGGATAATGACTACCAAATGGCGCTTCTGATCCCCAATCCTTGTAGGTGGTGCAAAAAGATAACATGATTGAAGGTACTCAACTGAACTGATGCTGAACTGTCAAGTAAGCCTAGAAGAGGTGTATTTCCTCCCATCCAGATTCTGAGCCTGATGTATTCATTTATTTTCAGACATTAGAATCTTACATGCAATGTCATTATATTCCATAGAGAGATTAATTATTCCATAATAGCAAGAGCATATGCATCTACAAAGGTATAGACCAGGGATATCCAACCCTTGCATCTTTGCTCTGATTACTACTCAGGGTGTACGCTTTCCAACCATTTTAAGATCATTGCTTCATCAGCTTTCCTGGGCAGAAATGGCATGTAAAGATGAGATGTTAGTATTTTAAAAAGGCAATGAACTCTGGGCAAAGAGGTCAAACAGAATAGAAAATCCTGAGGGAAGGCATGGCTAGCTTTTGATGTGGTAGAGGTCAACTGAGAAGGAAAGTTAGTGTGGCAAAAATAGTCATTTTAGTAGTTCTCTTCAAGCAGAGAAGAGAAGAAATGGCCAGCTGACTGGAACATGAACATTGATGCTCCTATGTCTGACCTGGATTTGGTATCTAGATTGTCTTGGTTGTCAGATGGATAATCTAGACAGGGAGAGAGATCACGAAACATTAACCCTCTTGATATTCCTGGATCTCAGGGCTTTTTTCATCCTTTTCACCACAGTATCTTTTTGGAGTACTTGAAGAAGATGAAGATCAGAGGCATTACTTTATACTAGTTTTACTCATACTTTACCAGATACTATCATAAAGTGCCATTGGGAGAGTTTTGCTTGATTTTTCTAAGGGGACCCTGCAAGGTTCCATTTTAATCTGGTAAGTTATATACACCCATGCTTGGAAGAGACATTCCTGTGATTGATTAATGCATGACTGAGAACTTTAGTTTAGATTATTGCAACACAGTGTATCAGGCAGCCTTGAAAATGGTTCAGGAAACTGCAGATGGCCCAGAATGCAATAATGCAGATGATGAATTAAATGAATAGCATAAATCAGTGGCACTGGAAGAGTCCTACATGCTGTCAAATCCAACCCCCTATCAACAATCACTCCAAAATGTAAGGATATGGGCAAGCCTTATATATTCCTTTATTATACACACATCCTCCAGTGCAATTTCCCCTTTAGATGTTGAGAAATTCTACTTGCTAGAAATAGAATGTATAGTTTGATAAATTTGATTTTGATACAATACTATTAAATATGATATATGTATATGTCCACACATCTCTGTTCTTACATGGCTTAAATTGCATTAAATAAACCAGGTAGTAATAGAAGTTACAAGAAAAACTGGGGAAGGAATGTTCAGAGGAATTGAAAGCTGCTTCCTTCAATTCCATTTTGTCCCAATTTTATCAGTTTTATCAATGAGACCAAGTTCATATTCTTTGAATACATGAAAGTTACAATCCTATGCTCACTTAATAAGGAGGAAATTCCATTGAACTAAACAGGACTTAGGCCCAAGTAGTAATTCCTCAGGTTGAATTTTATTTAATTTTATTTGATTCTCCTTTATTGCATTCTGTATGCTCTTGTGACAAATTTCATAAACTCTTTTCTTTGAAATAGCACAGTACCTGTGAGGCATTGGGAGAAAGCAGTAGAAGAGTCTTTGATTTATATAAGAGTATTGAAGACTGTCCAGATATATAGATTTCAGATATTACCTTTATTAGTGAAAAGTTCTCTTCCTCGCTTTCCTTCTTTGCTCCAAATTGAAGGACCTGTTTTTCACAGCACTTTTTTCAATTATTTAAATAAACTCAAAATAAAAATATCATCTCTGTTCATGGCATTCCCCTTTCTCACATAATTTAGCATGTTACACTCATTATTTGCACAGTCAAAGCTGAAGTAATCACAGATGAGAAAATTGTACGGTGGCAGGTTTGTTTCTTTCGATGCTGTCAAAGGATCAAAACCCTGCGCTTAAGTTGCTGTAGTGAAAAAAATGTTTCTGTAGTGTTTTTGTGCCGCAATAGGCTACTGTCTTAAAATACCACACTTGAACTAAAAGATGGGGTTTACACTTATAAAAAAGGCAGTATATCACTTATAGAAGTTGTCTTGGTATTCCTTCTTTTTTTTTTAATAATAACTTTATTGAGTGTTGAGAAAAAAACAAAAACTAACAAGGATTAATATTAAGAAAAAGAAGAAGAAAAAGAAAGTTGAAAAGAGAGAAAGTAGTAAAGATTAAAAGTGCAAAAATGAAAAAGAAAAAACAGAAAGAATTTACTTCTGACCCTTCTCACAACAGATATAAGTAACAATATACATCCAACTCTAACTCTAAGTTTTAAAAAAAAACTTGCATTATTTCTATTAATCCATGACTTGGTATTCCTTCTATGAAGTACGTAAGAGCATTTTCTCATCCCAATATTGGATATTCCAGAATATCTTCTACAATTAAACCTGAGTGTGGGCAGTTGTTATGTATTCAGAATGGTTTTGTGTGTGGTGGTCTCACTGCTTGGAGCAAGGAGGATCAAATGCAGAATCTGAATGTATATTCCTTGCTTATCTCATTTAAGAGAGACAATTTTGGGGTGGTTTTCTCCCCCTCCAGTACTGATCCTAGGCAGTTGTTTTCTATTTTTATCAACAGAGCCACACAACTGAGGACTTGAAATAAAATAGTATGTGTGTATATATGTTTGTGTGTGTATATGTATACATGTATGTATGTATGTATATAGTATATATCCAAACTCTAAGAGATTTGCTTCTGTGCAGAGCTTTAGCTAGCCAGGGCAGGATAGCCTTAATGCAAAGGGCAGAAGGTTTGGGGGAAGATCAAATGGAAGCCAAATTAGCCCTTTGATTTCCTACACTTCTGATGTCTTTTCTTGCTTTCCTAATTGCAAACTTGAACTCTTCTTTTTTTTTTTTTGTCAGTGGCTTAGAGAGAGTAGAATGATTGTCTTGTTTTTCTTTAAAACCTCCCTAGAAAATTTAATAAGACTATATGGTATACTTCCTTCAAACTCTAATTCTTCTGCACCCAAGCTGTAAAGTCATTAGATGCTTAAGCAGAACATTTTCATCCCAGTCCAGACCATTTTTCCTTTTCTCTTGGTGAATATATCCTCAGTAGTTCACTTGGGTTCTACATATCAAAGGTTGCCAAAGTGATCTTAAAGACATCATTATGTGATTATTAAGAAGCTTCCTAAAATAGTTATGTAGGAACCTGAGGAGTCCTAACTATGCAGAAATCACTAGTCTTGCTTCTTGCTAGTGTCTTGCTTCCAGTTTATTCATTGTGAGATATAAGGATGATGGGTAAAAGATAAGATTCCAAATTACCAAATAATTTGATAAGTAACATTCATAATTAAAAGTAATTGATTAGGTGAAATGTGTCCAGTATATTTCCCATTTCCTTAATACATGTAGTTTTAACCAAATTGATACATTGTGGAATAGTCATGAATATATGGAGGCATTCAAATCTTTTCCTTTGTCACTAAATATGATACATTTTTCATACTGCTTAAATTATACCTTTCTTGATGGTTTGCTATAGTTATGGATATTAATCATTACTCATCTAAGCAATCAGCAATATTTTTACAACCTAAGCAAGTACATACGATTTCTGCTTCTGTATGCTATTGCATCTCTTCAAAATATTTCCCTTTCTCCCACAGAAGTGCATTATGTACATGTCTGTGCATGTTCAATGATTTCTATAAGGGCAAAAAAGGGTAACTTTCCCTTTCTAGCTTTTCCAGTCTGTGTCTCATATAAAATGGGGATAAATACATTACTATCAGATGAAATATCTGAACATCAGTGTTAATTATTATGTGCAGTCCTCTTCAACTATCATTATAAGAGAGATATGGAGGACCTGGTCAAGAACAATATGATATTTCATTGCTTTCAATTTTTTTTACAGCTTCATTTAAGCAGAAGCAACGGTATTACATCCTCAATATAATATTGATGATATAACAGATTTAAAATGCATATTGTTTGTATATTTTAGTGTTCAGCACAATCATCTTCAGAAGCCTGGGATTTCACTACACATAATGATATACTGACATCTCAGAAAACAAAACTCAATTTCAGGTAAAAAAAAAAATCCATTTATATTTATATTTCTTTTCTTTCTCTATTTCTATATTACAAATAAGTCTATACATTTTTGCTTTTAAGAGTGTAAAATCATATTCATGTCACACGATCATGCCTATTAGAGATGATAAAGGACTATAGTAATCTTGTACTTTGAAATATTAGCAGTTGGTGGATTTCAAGATGGCATAAAGCCTTGTATTGCCATCTAACTTGAGCTTCAACTAGATGTCATGATGGAAATCCAGAGTAAGGATCTGCCACTTACATTTATCTGAAAGCAGCTGTGGAAGGAGAGACAGCCCTATATTAAATCCTAACTGGTAAATGTAATCTGGTGTGAGATGTACAGTAAATGTTGTGGAAAAAATAGAAAAAATTACCATAATTCTATTACACATAGAATACACATAAGTAAGAAATTGCCAACTGTTTCAACACATTTAACTACAAAAGGGAACACTTCTAAAACATGAGGGGACTGATGAAAAAGAAGCTGAGAGGAAAAGTCAAGAGGGCCAAATCTCTCCATAATACCTGGAGGTTACTGGAGACTTGACTGGCATATATTCCACAGTGCAAGAAAGAGTCAGCCAAGGCCACCAAGCTGTAGAAATTAAGATGGCTCTTTCAGGAAATGGAAAGTCTGTCCTAATGAGCAGTATAAAAAGGAGAGCAAACTGACAGAGAAAAGAAAGTGTATGGCAAACAAATTAAGGGAAATAATAAGAATGTTTCTAGATACGTTTAAAGCAAAACTTAGGGAAGTGATTGATCCATTAGGGAAAGGGATTTTGAAGGTTGATTTGGAGATTGCAAAGAAACTGAATAAATTGTTTACATATTCTGCATCTACAGAACATATAGGATGTACTGACTTGAGATCCTTGAGAAGACTCCATTTCTTTTTTTGATTTGAGCAAAATGCCCATTTATTTTTATTCTTTTCTTTCTCTTTTTTAACTAGTTAGTAATTTATTACAGGAAAAGTCCTCATATCCCATGACCACTAAATTTAATCCACAGCCTTTGATGAGGAACTTTAAACAAGTTTAAAAACTAAATAGAACTGGAAAAAGTGCAGAAATTATCACAGGGCTGAAATAATTTTCTTATGAAAAAGAGTTGCAATATTGACTGAATAGCTTAGGGGGACAAATTGTGGGGAACATCATTACAGTGAATAAAACCATATGTAGTGTGGAGAAAATGGACAAGAAGTTTTTATTCCTCTCTTTAAAGCACTAGTCTAAGGGTCATTCAAGAGAACTGATTAGAAGGAGAACAGACAAACAAAAGCTTGATTAAGCAGGCCTTAACAATGATTAAATAATCTGTAAAATTCATTACCACAACATGTGGTGATGGGTATTAATTTGGATGGATTCAAAAAGGAATTGGATAAATTCATGGAGGACAGGTCTATAAAAGTCTCAGTGATTTCTCTTCCAGAATGGGGGAAGCATACCTTCAGTACCAGTTGTAGAAGAACAGTGGTGGGAAAGGGGCGTGTCCTCTTCTTCTCTTTCTGAGCACCCCAAGGGAATCTGGTTGGCCACTGTGAGAAGCAAAATGCTGGACTAAGATGTGCTTTGGCCTGATAACCAGCAGAGTCCTTAATTTCTTAAATAACAAGATGGAACACCTATAAAAAAGGAAATAGGAAGATCAAGGAAGATTGAATTCCAATTTTTTACAAAGCCCTGCACTGCAACTAACTCTATATTGGAGGTTTCTTCCACATTCACACATAGATTTTAAGAATAGACTGCAGTGGCAGTATTGAAAACTTCAGGTGCCTGATTTCTCTATGGACCTACATTTAGCAATTTGAAGGCTCATACCATAGTTTCTAATCCTGTGGGTGTTTTCAGGCCTACCTTCTTAGTCCTCATGCATTCATAGGATTTATTAAAATTGTTAAAGGAAACGATGTCAGAATAAATAACTCTTTCTACTTTGTCTGAAGAGGGGTGTATCTAACCTAATTGTGACAGTGTGTGTTGACTTGCTTCTAGATAAAATGAAGATATGTTGATCTACAGGATTATTATTTTTTTCTTAGCAATAAACTAATCTAGGAATTTTAAAAATTGCTTTAAAAATTGCTTCAATAATATCATACATGCTAACATGGGCTACTTACTGTGTTCAGTAATAACTAGTGACCAACATCAGTTTTCCACTTCTTACATCCTTGTTTTTTACTGAGGACCTCTTAAAGGAAAGTTTTAAAAATGACATCATATTAGGCTTTAGTTTAAGAATATATGACTAGCCATTAAATTCTACCCATTGTCAACAACTGGAAAGAAAAATGCAGTTTTTGCAAGCCTCATTGTTAAACGTATTTTCCATGGTAAACATAGAGTTGTTAATTTTATTGCATTGAGATGATTAGAAAATGGATAATTTTAATTCAGTCACTATCACTTTTACTTTCTATATTGTCTCAGACTAAACCACTTCTGGAATCATTTTAAATTTCTGTATTATATTAATAAACATAGCTATAATAATAGAAATAATATTTTAAAAATTAAAATCCTTTATCACATTTAGTTTTCCTTCCTCTTATCTTTTCTCTATCCCCCCTGCCTCTCTCTTTAATGTCTTGTCTGATGAAGTCTTCTGAAGAATTCAAAAGCTTGCATACTATTCTCTGATCTTTCAATTAATTCTAATAAAAGTATTGCTTTAGGTGTTTTGGATTTTTTCCCCTTATCCATAAATATGGCTAGCTCTAATTTTTGTTCTGATGGTGATGCTCGTACCTTGAAATAAAGTACTCCTTTACACAGGCATGTTGATCAACCTAACCTTTTGCTGTGAATATATGAAAGAGGTCTATTTAAAAAGTATTTTAAGTTGGTATTGGGTATGCCAATGCTCTGTTGATGACCAGTAATCTTGATAGCATGCAAGTTTGTGCCAGTTAATGACCTCAGTAAGGTCTTTCACATAGTATCACATGCGAGTCATCCCTTAATGCTTTTTACTTGGTGTTTTGCATTTATGACCCTCCACACAAAACATGACTGGTGAACTCAGAACGTACTGCCTCTTCTCCTGATTCTTATAGATGGAACTTCTGTTTCTTCCTATTTAAAGATGTAAATGTTCAGTTTCAACTGGATTGTCAATGTCTTAGCACCTTGTTTGTTTGTTTGTTTTAGCAGATTTCCTTTCTACAACACTTCGCACATGCATCCTAAGAAACACTTTGTTTCTTGCTGCTGTTCTAAATATAGAGCCCGGATATAAGCAAGATTGCCCACTGGTTGGTCTGTAGAAATGTAACGTTAGCAGTTCAAATATTTACTTTTATTCTCATATAAAAAGTTTCCTTTTGGAGTACCATTACTAAATCTTACTAATAAGTTTAACTTGTTCAGCAACTATGTTCCAGTTCTAACCTTCTTCCTAATTGCTGATCTTCTACTCTTTGAAAATACAGCATGGTCTTAGTTTCCCTCTCCAAGTCCAGAGAAGCCTCAGCATTAGCAAACGTTTCCTGGCATTTTCCATGTTAGTCTGCCTAGATCTCAAAAATACAAAGAGAAGATACCTTTCTGCTCATGCAGAAATGCTTGTGTGAAACAATATAATAGTACAGTATGTTGAAAAGCATTTGTTTGACAGCATGCCTGCTGCAGTTCAGTTGGAATAACAGGGTATTTCTCTTCAGTTCTGCCTGTAAAAGTGTAGTAATTGCATCTCTTCCACAAGACTCTTAGCTCAGTGGGAGGCGTGTCCCTGAAAGCCTTCTTCAGCCTCCCTACAATGCCTGTGTTTGCCTGGACAACCACTTATTATTGCATACTTGACCACATCAGCTACTTTTCCTGTTTTGTTGCCACTTTAATTTCCTGCAGGGTTGTAGATTTAATCAGTAGCTAACGCCCTGTGTTGATTGACTCAATTTCCTGATTAGCTTTGTATCACCTCCTCAGTCCTGTTGTATGCCATGCTGAAGTATCAACTTTTCCTAGGGCTGCCAGGTAAAAGATGGGAAATGCAGCAGTCTCTAACTGAAAAGTGTTGTGGGCATGAGGGGCACATTTATATACTAAGCATTACGTCACAGTTTTCTCTGTTGTGAACCTGTAGGTAAAGTGGTTCTCTCTAACCATCTATTGTAGTTTGGCCATTTGGTGGCCTCGTGGTGCACAATTAAAGTAAACTGCTCAGTTTTGAGCTGAATAGGCCTCATCTTCATTTTTCCCCCCAAATATTATTCTTTATTTTAGAAGATTACAAAATATAAAGTATATAAAGAGTATCAGAATATACCACAATAACAAAATTCAACTAAATAATAAAAAAAAGGGGGGGAGTGAAAAAAAGGGGTCCCTCACCAACCCCCTTCATGACCATAACAAAATTTAACAAATTACAATACTAAAGGATTGGAGTTGAACTAAAGATCTAACATATATGTTAAACTTATAGTTATTGGTTTACAAAAATTACCATATGATACTATATTATAGTCAGATGCAAAAAAATTAGAAACCTAATGATACTGTGATGGAATGTATCTACAAGGAGGAGAGTGATGTGGGAGGTCAAGGCTATCAAGAAGGAGGGGGTGCATTCCAGGAGGGGAAAGGAGGCAAAAGTCCACAGTCGGAGCGTGAGAAGAGTAAGAGGTTCAGGATAGCTACTCCCTAGAACCTCACAGGGTGTATCCACTAGTTGCTGTAGTACAGATTTAGTTTGGCAAGATTCTGTCTATAAGGTGTA